CTATCTGTATCTATATACCTATCTATTAATTTCTCTCTCTCTCGCTCTCTATGTATATATGTACACACATATATATAACCATTTATCTATGTCTATCTATTTATATCTTTTTACCTACCTCCCTATCTATATATCTATGAATACCGAATCTTTCATTACGGCATTCATATAATAAAACGGAATCAAGGTATTGAGACACATTAATATAATAACATCTCGATTCATTATCTATACTATGTCGCATGTATTTTAGCAATACGGTTTCTTCCAAGTGAGCGTTATTTCGAAAACGCTCGAGGTTCAAGTGTCAAATGTTTCGAACCCCGTCGCTGGGGCTCGTGCCTGGGTTTGTTTTCCTTCATGTTGTGCAAACAAGAATTCAAGAAGAAGCCTTCATTTCCACCGTTTTACAAGAGACCATGGGAAAGGTAAGGGGATAATGTACCAAGAGCGACGCTGGAACATTTGGACAAACCATATACAGTCTAGAATGGACTGTCTCGGGGAGTGCAGGTTACACTAACCGGTAAATTCCAAGTTTCATCCAGCCTCCGACTTTCGAAACTATTTTTTGGGGATGTATTCTCCCCTCGTAGTTTAACGCTGTTATGCTGTAGCTTTCCGTCGCATTTGACTCGTTGATGAGTAACGGACCTTGTATGCCCCGACGGCAAAGTTGATCAGATGTGTTAGATTCGGCTTCGCACTGTATTTAGGGGAGGAATTAGCATGATTTACACACTGAAAAACCGAAGAAAAACACTAAAATAACTTAAAATCGGGGTTGCTGAAACTCTACGGGGGCAGGAGCCATGTTTCACCTATGTAATTACGGTATACAATTCTGCGGTTAAATCCAGAATATTTTTTTTGCCTGATTGACGCACAATACAAAGGAATCAAATCATGATTGGGCAAAAACTACTTTTGATATGAAAATGCGTTTCGAAAGCTTCGTGATGACCGTCTCGAATTTACACAAGGTTTTATTTAGTTCCCCGAATAACAACGGTATTTTATTGATTGACTGCGTTAACAAATACATAGCAACCCCCCCCCCCCCCAAAAAAAAAAAAAAAAAAAAAAAAAAAAAAAAAAAAAAAAAAAAAAAAAAAAAAAAAAAAAAAAAAAAAGCGCTATTGATAGTTACGTGTCGCGCACGGAGACTGCCGCAGCGGCACACGCAGTCTCCGTGAATGTTATTCTCAAACAAAAAAAATGACGCATTTTAGTAACAGACCTTGCAAACTTTAGTGATGATTGTCGTCAAATATGGTAACCCTTTTGTACTTATACTTGTGTTAAAAAGTAAGATGAAAATTATTGACCTTTGCCTGAGCCGAAAATACTTCGGAGGCCGTGGTGCGACATCAGGCCGCGCAGCGTCGCTCGTCCCGCGGAACTACGAAAGATTTAGCCGATTCGTCGCACGCGGCGACGGCACAGTCATGCAACTGCGATCGGCTTCAATAGCCAATTCGGTAATAATTATTATTAACAGTGCGTGTATTATTGTCCTGTTAGAAGTATGTTGTTTTCATTACATGAATTTGCTTATTAATTGAAATGTACTTTGTGCAATAAATAAGTAGACTTCGCCGGTTCTCGTTAAACGTTACTTAAATTTTACTAACCTTATATCATCCCGTCTCCTTTATTACGGTTCACCATAAATACGTCGTCTTCAGCGTAGTAATATATCCAGTGATAGGCGTATTTCGTAATTTGTAAAAAAAATCAGCCGGCTTCTATATTTTTTTCACACGTACACTTATCTGGACACCGGGCAGATACAAACTGAGCGTGTTTCAAGGGCGAGGGCAGGGCTTTCCGAAAAAATGATTTTTGGTCAGAAAACTCTGACGTCATTGTCTGAAGTTTTCATTGGCTAGAATTTCTCTGTATGTAACACCGTATAATCACTACAAACATTGTTTTGTAATACGTATATATATTTGTTTTGGGAGGCCATATTTATACACACAATCAGGTAATTGTTAACTATTTCTTTCACGCCTTGCGGTGGGTATAGCTCTGCCGCTTGTACAAAAAATGAATGGATGAGTGAATGTTAATGATCTTTGATAAACAAATACCGGGCCAGGCATTGTGTTATGTAAGCGGCCCTAATGCCTGGCCGCTTGACCCATTCCTTCAAGTCCCTCCACAACCTCTCTATATTTTGTGTGTATTTGTAGGTCGTGTGGGTCTACAAAGTTCTCGGAATTATTAATACTCATATGTTTGTAACCATGCTGTTGTAGGTTACGGCAGGCAGCCCATCCATCACTGTATATCACACTGTCTAGTTTTATATATTTCCAAATAAGGGGTATGAGCGTGCCTGCACTGCGATCAGTGCCAACTAAAGGCACAATGAACTTCTTCTTACTCACGCAGAATACCCCAAAGACCCACACCTGGCTCAACTGTCTGCCCCTATTATACTTTCGGCGCACGAGCAGCGTCTCGTCGATCTCAACTATTACACCGGCACCTTCTGTTGAATTTTGATTTTGTAACCAATATTCGGTTACTTCAGAACAAAAACTCCTCCAAACTACGCAAGTTGGCTTTGAAATACTAATACATTTAATAATTTGAGTATGATCCTAATGTTTTTTAGCAAATGATTCACAAACAAAACTACTTTAAAAGGTTCCAAATATGTCCCCTGCAGAAACGAGAAAACGCAACTTTTACGCCGTTTTGTCTTTGCATTTTTTTCCATCTGCCACAATACCACATATGTCGTCGATCTTCACGATATTTGCAAGGTAAATCACTATGTGGGAAACTTACCGCTCTTGGCAAAACACCGTGTGGCCTCAGGAACTCTATAGCGTTATCATTTTTTTTTTCAAAATAATCAGATATAACTCTATAGTAATGGGGATGACACCTACGCACCTTAGTTCCATTTTGAACAAAGATTTGGTATATTTGCTTTCCTTGCCCACTAATACATGAGTGGCACAAATGGTGGCATGCGATTGGTTTATACTATTTCCTGTAATACTATTGGCTCTCGTGACAATTGTCACGCGTATGTGGTATACAATAAAAGGTTAAAAAAGTTTCGTGCGCAGTTCATGCGGTAACATTGTTATTTTTGAAAATCGCGCGCAATTCTTCAGTTCCTTCTTGCCCGTAATATTGACCAGACACATCGATTTGCGCAGAGTAAGAAATATCATTGTTACTGTAAATACTCGATTTTATGATGGTATTACGCGTGCATTGTCTGATATTTTTATGCAGAGACAAAATCACCTTCATGTAAGTTTATGCGGAATTTATCTAATAAGGAAATGAAAGTATTACAATAAAATAAACAAAATAAATCGGCATCATTGTTTTGTTTACAAAAGGTAGGAAAGGATATCGGATGGCGATTTTTAAAATATTTTCATTTCGGGCTCTGTGACACTTGCGTGTCCAATAACTTCGTTATTTCTGATTTGCGATGAAGTTCATAGAAGATAAGTTTGATGTATTTGCTCTATCACATGCATATATTTTTTTCCGGATTAACCGAGGCTAGTCAAAACTTAACCTATACCCACTAACCAGTCTCATCACCACTGCTAAGTAGCACCCAAGTCGCTTAATCTTGTATATTACTTTCTTACTTGCACTAAAACTGCACCCTATCGATCATGTGTGTCAAGAGCAGTAAGTTGTCCACACTGAATTTACCTTGCAAATTCTATGAAGATCGACATATGTGGTACTGTGGTAGAGCGCCCACCCTTTTCTATGCTCTTTAGCAAAGACTCTATTACTTCCCTTTGCTCTGGGAACCACTCAGACTTTATCCAGAGGGGCACTATTTGTTATTACCAATATGTGGTTTCTCCAAAAGTTTTCTTTAGAACCCACACTATAAAAGAAAAACATTCATATAGGTTACTTATGATCAGCCTTAGAGGTAACTGAGAGAAGGGGTAACATCAAAACACTTAATGAGCTTACAATTGTTGTTGATATATTGAGTCAAAGATCATTACACTTCTACAGTAAAATAAACATTCATCTAAAAAAATGTCCAAGTATTTATATCCCAACCTGTCACTCTTTACACTATTTGTTCTTCTCAGGTATATTCTTTCCTTTTTATCAATATCCTGGCTCTTTCATTCTTGTTCACAGCACCAGGGGCGAATAAACCACAACTTCAGCAGAACCAAATAAACCATAAAAAAATGAAAAAATAAACCCATTCCTAGAAAAGAAACAATTATTCTAGTTTAGGAATGATAAACAATATAAAGTTATCAAATATAAGTAAATCATTTCTTGAAAGATCAAAAACAATATTTCTTACAAACAAACAAATTATATATAATATTTATGTCATTATATACGATCTGAGTAATTATATATTATAGTAAAGTTTGATTAAACATCATTATAATATACAATTATAAATGCTAAGAACACTTACTCTTTGAATGGGTTTTTAAATTCTTAATAATGAGAGAGACATCGGGATGTTGTTCAAGTGCCATGTGCCAGCATCGAGCTGTGAAGAAGACATACTCTTTATCTCTAATTTTCAGTTTAATCTCAAATAGTTACTTTCTTTTGTTCTGTAAATCAACTGTACAGTAGTTTATGACTTTATTAATTATATAATTATCCAGTCTGAGAAGCATGTCCATTCCCGACAAGATCTTGCGCGTACAGAACCGTTAACTGCGCGTGCGCGCGCGTGCAGCTCCTAGAAGTAGGAGTGGAGTTCAAGTCGAAAAATTTTACATTTTGTAAAAGCATAAAAGTAATAATGTTTTTAAAATATCAAATTATAGGTTGACATGCATCAGTCATCTATTTTTGAGTTCCGACGGGTATAGAGAATGTAGCCCTGAGTAAATTTCGCTCCGTTTTTAGGGTTGGTGTGTGCACGTGCAATACTGCTTTTCAGGCGTGCACATAACGAACCTTAGATTTCGTCTTGTGCGTGCACTGGCCATACTCCTCAGACTGGATAATTATAGTGGAATGTTCTTTCTTACCTCGGATATTTCACGATAATCAAATAAACTTTCAGGCTGTTGTATGGCACTCCTCTCTGATCTCGATCTCTCTATGATTATAGCTATAGTTTCAGGATTTAGCACAGTATATAATTTGAATTTTAAAGTTTACTTAGGTCACATATATTACAAATATATAGTTCATGCATATAACACACACAAAATACATTTTACATAATACAAAACAAGTACAATTTTTTCGCGCACAATTTTTTCTTCTGAAATAGCGAGAATAAATCATTAATGTCTGAAATAGGAAGACAAGGACATAATGTATAACGACCAATTATTGACAACTTAGCGATTATACGGTGTTACAAACTGACAAATTCTAGCCTATGAGAACTTCAGACAATGACGTCAGAGTTTTTTTTACCAATCAATTTTTTTTTTTTTTTTTTTTTTTTTTTTTTTTTTTTTTTTTTGAAAGCCCTGCCCTCGCCCATGAAAAACGTTCAGTGTGTGTCTGTCTGCTAAGTGTACGTGTAAAAAAAAATATATAGAAAGCCGGCTGAAAGTTTTACAAATTGCGAAATACGCCCATCGTTGGAGATATTACCACGCTGAGGACGACGTATTATTGTGAAGCGTAATAACGAAGGCGCGGCGATATGGGATTAGTAAAATTTAAGTAACGTTTAACGAAAACCGGCGAAATCTACATGTTTATTGCACGAAGTACATTTCAAGTAATAAGCAGATTCATGCAATAAAAAACATTCTTCCAATAGGACAGTAATACACGCAGTATTGATAAAAATTGTTACCGATTTGGCTATAGCAAACGGCTGTAGTTGAATGACAGGGAGTGCCGTTGCCGCGCGCAATGAAATCAGGCTAAAGCTTTCGTAGCTCCGCGGGACGAGCAGTAATCTTTAGCTGCGCGGCATGAAGTCCCGCCACGGCCTCCGAAGTATTTTCGGCTCGGCCAAAGGTCAATAAATTCCATATTGCATTTTAAGACAAGTTTAAGTATTGAACTGTTTGAACCATATTTGACGACAATCATCACTAAGCTCTGTATTAAAATGTGTTCGAAGCTTGATGTTTGACTGCGTGTGCCGCAACGATTGCGCGTAACTGTCAATGGCAAATTTTAATTTTTATTTGCTTTGCTTTCTATTATTACTTGTTACCGCAATCAATCAATAAAATACCGTTGCTATTTGAGGGACAATTAATAAAACTTTATGTATAAATCTGAAACGGTCATCCGGAAATTTTCGAAACACATTTTCATATTAAAAAGTTGCTTTTGTCCAATCATGATTTAATGCATTTGTACTGTGCGTCAGTCGGGCAAAAAGTAATCCCGGATTTAACCGCAGAATTGTATACCGCATTTGAAACATGGATCCCGCCCCGTAGAGTTTCAGCAAAACCGATTTAAAGTTATTTTCGAAAGCAACAGCATAACAGCGTTAAACTACGAGGGGAGATTCCTTTCCAAAGAGAATTGTTTCGAAAGTCGGAGGCTGGTTGAAACTGGAAGTTTACCGGACATCTACACTGTTTCGTAAATAAAATTTTGTCAAATAAAATAAAATTCTCTCTCCCTCTCTCCTCTTCTCTCACCCCCCCCCCTCTCCTTCTTCCGCTCTCTCTCTCTCTCTCTCTCTCTCTCTCTCTCTCTCTCTCTCTCTCTCTCTCTCTCTCTCTCTCTCTCTCTCTCTCTCTCTCTCTCTCTCTCTCTCTCTCTCTCTTTCGTTCTCTCTCCCTCCCTCCCTCCCTCTCCCTACCTACCGCAAGATCACGCCTGCAGACCAGAACTTAAACTAAACTGTTAGTCCCAGAACCGCCGCTCGGAATGGAACCGAGATGTCGTTGATGACTGACCTTATTTGACTCTCTGATTCTACTCTCTCTCCGTGCCGTAAAGACCCCCTCGGCACACCGCTGGCCGGGCCCATGACGCCACGCAAGCACCGTTCCAGTCCATCGTGCCGTGTCTTGAATTGCTTCTGTGTCCTCCGTTCCAACAATAAAGAGTCAAGCCGCACATATCACTATCACTGCCCAACCAGTCCATTTGTATTAAGGCAATCCACAGTCTTTTAAACATTCTCTATCTCTCTCTCTCACCCAGTCTCTCTCTCTCTCTCTCTCTCTCTCTCTCTCTCTCTCTCTCTCTCTCTCTCTCTCTCTCTCTCTCCCAGTCTCTCTCTCTCTTTCACCTAGTCTCTCTTTCTCTCTCCCAGTCTCTCTCTCTCTCACCCAGTCTCTCTCTCTCTCTTTCCCAGTCTCTCTCTCTCTCCCAGTCTCTCTCTCTCTCCTAGTCTCTCTCTCTTTCTCTCCCTGTCACTCTCTCTCTCTCTCTCTCTCTCTCTCTCTTTCTCTGTATCTCTCTATTTTTCTCTCAGTCTCTCTTTCTCTGTCTCTGTATTTTTCTCTCAGTCTCTCTCTCTTTCTCTCAGGCTCTATCTCTTTTTCTCAGTCTCTCTCTATCTTTTTCTCAGTCTCT